CTTCCATAAAGATTCCAACCGAGAAAACCCTGTGGAGCTCAGTTCTACTCTGTAACACATGGGGTCACCATGAGTCCGAATCAACTCTAGGGCAACGTTTTTCCCACTGGAGGGAAAAAAACCTTTCCTTGTAACCAAACCTTTCCCTGTAACTACCCAGAAGGGGTTTCAGTTCCCTGTCAGTCTGTGAAATTATTCAAAGAAACCAATCACATCCTCCTGTGGGAACTAGGTGCAGCCCACCCTCTGAATATTACAAAGGCTGCCTCTCACAGCCCCTGGTGGTTCACTTTGTTCCTGGATACAACCCCTGTGTGGCCCTGCAAGGAGTATGGTATCCTTCTTCCCGGGGCTATGAATATATGTGACTAACAAAATACTGTTGATCTCATTGTCCAGTGTTGAGTGTCTGTGTTCAGCCATCGCTATAACCCTAGAGCAGGAATTCTTCCCTCACCAACAGGGTAAATAAGACATGATTAAAACAATAGCTCCTTAAATTTAAAGATTTTGTGTCCTATTTCCTGGCACAGTGCTAACACGTAGCAGTCGTTCAGTATATATTTGTTGAAAGAATAGTAGAATAAATCACCATCCAAATTCTAGTTTTCTATATTATTCAATATTGCCAGTTACATCAACTTTAAAAATCAACTCCTATAAACCTGTTTTCTCATCAGCAAAAGGAAGATTTGTATTACAGGGTTGTTGTGAAGGTTATTATTCATCCAACCAAAAATATGCATGTACATGTAGCTTAATAGAGAAGGTGCACAATGAATTTTAATTTACTGTTCCCTTTTGTAGGTCATTGGATAAATAAAAAACATTAATTAGGACATTTCACTTTTAAATGTCAGTAATCCTCAAAATGCCTGAAGCCTTTTAAAAACTGAATTCATCAATTAAAAATGCATTTCTTAGGCATTGTTAAGTGTTATAGATGCTTTCCTGGCAGAGTGTACAATACAGTTGAGGGTAGTGATATTTAACAAATAAAATATAGTACAATATGGCTAAAAGTTCTAATAGGGTTTTAATAAAGTACTTAAGAATCTCAAGAGTAATGGAATAATAAAATAGTCAGGAAAAGTCTGCACAAAGAGTCAAAAAAAAATCAAGTGCAAGCAAAAATATATGCTAATGACTGG